GTGTGCTCTTCCGATCTTTTGTATTAAATTAATTAAATATTTGATATCAATAACTAACGCCAAGTTTTAATTCCATAAGAATAGAATATCTAACTCAACTCCAGCAATATGTTATGTAATTGTACCAAATAAAAAAATTAAACTCAAGTAGTACTATATATTTAATTTAAAAAAAATAAAATCTAAGTAATATGTAACTTTATAAAACTGCTATATCCAATTAAAAAATAAAATCCAGTGGTCTTTAATTAAAAATAATTGCGTTAACTTAATCCCCAAGTAATATGTATTACTAAATGACACTGTAATTAACATTTTTATGAAATAAAAGATTTTATCACAAAAAATTAAAAAGGTAACAACAGTACAAAAAGAAAAAAATTAATTGAAATACAATTTTTCATATAAAAAAACTTGACGCTGCTAGACTTTCATATGTATATGTGTGCAAGCAAGTATTACAGGCGTGTGAATTAAAATTATGTAGGGTAAAGTAGCATAATTTTGTCAACATTTTTTGAGCGCTGTAGTCACACTAGATAATTGTCGTTTATGTCATTAAATTGTCATTGTATTAGCTCATTTTTTATTAGACGTAGAACTGAATAGACGTGTTAATTTTTGCTCGGCAGAACAAAGCAAAAAAATTGTAAAAAATAATTAAAATTGACATCATACATTTTATTCTGTGAAGTGGTGATTTTTTCGGGATTTGATGTAGGTAATGTGTGTTATATGGTTTTTTATTCTCTTTCATGTGATTAATCGCGTTTCGGTGTGAAGTGCGTGAAAAATTTTTACGCCATTTTTTTCAGCAAGCTTGGTTAGCGTAATTTGGTCATTGGATTTTTTTACACATATTCACAGATGAAGCACTGAACGTCACATATAAACACATATAGACTCATTTTTGGTATTTTTTTTATTTTTAAATAATTTTTCTACATTTTTTCAAATATTAGAATGAGATTTCATAAGCGAAAAATTGATCGTCTAGTAAAAGCTCTCACTGCATTGATTAATGCCATTAACGAAATAAAATTAGGGAAGAAATCGAAGCGTTGATTTGTCATACAATATTCATAGAACTAGTTTGAATTGGTACGTTTTGCAGCTTGATAAGCAAATTGACGATTTTTTAACAATCAGCGACGACAATCTTTTAATAAAAATTCACTTTGTACGGGGCAGTGCACGATATGTTCTCGATCAATTGATTTCAATAAAATTCTTTTTTGATTCTCATTTTTATTGTTTTCATTGTTCATACAGATTTCACAAAAGATCAAGAGATAGCATTTGTTGAATACTTGAAAAAGTGTAGAGATCTTTATTACGGTCTTAGTATATGAAAGATTAATTTCAATGTTCGCGTGCTTTTTTGTGCTTTTTTTAAATGAAATTAATAAAAAAATAATTAAAATTTGAAAATATGCTATATTTTAGCTTTATTTTATAATTTATTTTTTAAGAATTCTTAGGATTTATACGGTTGACCAAATTACGCTATAAAAAAAATCTCGATTTTTTTGTGTCTCGGGAAAATGATATTTTTTTGCGATGAGATAGAAGGTAGGTATATTCGAGAAAAAGTTGCGCTAGGCATTTACCTTTCCAACGGTATAGGTATTTGATTTTAAAAAATCAAATTCGAAAAAATACGAGTTTTAGAGTCGTTCAAAAAAAAGTTGACCAAATTACGCTATACTCCCCTATAAGACATAAATTTCAATTTCTTGCATGCATTCTATGTTGCAAAAATTATTTAAATAGCTTATAACAGAAGTTTATATTATTAATGCGTGCAATATAAAAGCGATTATATGTAGAGTATTAATATAAAGTGTATACGTTTGATTATATATGAGGATGAATTGTTCGTCCAGACGACGATTGGTCAATTCGTGATCGAATTATCGATTGATCGATAGGTCGTATGACAATCTATATTGTCTTCGAATTTCATGATCGATGTAAGATGCTAAGCACGCCTGCTCTCTTCGTTATCTCTCTCCTTTTGTAACCGCCGAACGAGCACTTACGTTGTGAAAGTAATAAACTATAGTCATGTAAGAAAGGAGTCGCCGCGTGAATAAAATATAGAATATATTAGTTTTCAAGAGTATAAGAAC